ATGCGCGCAAGTATAAGACATTCATTACATATTATTACTTAGATTGGAAACAAGCACTTGGAAGACCTAAAGAAAATGCAGAAAAATAATGGGTGTGTATTGATGAATTCAAATCGATTACTAATAAGGACGTCATGAGAACTAAGGCTAATCAAGAAGATATATTACATGTATCTTTTGGACCAATGACAAGCGTCTGCACTTAGAAGTTAAAACGGCGTACTTAAATGCTGATTCTAGAGGTTATGGATAACGAATCCATTTAGAAGTCCATTGGAAAAGATTTCTATCAAATACAACTTAGTTTTTGCCTAAGAATACACCCAAAAATTCTAGAAGAATGAGATATAATAGTAGTCAAGATATGTGACAAATGAAAATACAGATCAACAGTAACCTTTTTAATCATCATCATGGAGAAGAAGAAATTTTGAATCAATTTTTTTTATCTCAAAATCAGACTCATGCAGTATCTAATTTTCCAATACATATAAGCCCATCTTTTTCTTTAAATACATGTAATCTTTATATGAAAAATGCATGAGCCAACTTTTCAAAAAAATGTTTTTTTTTTTTTCTTTTGGGTGAGAGTGATTCTCATTTAGTTTCTTTTGAATTTCCAAGACTTGGGGTGAATCACTTATCCTTATATTATGTACAATTTAGTTTAGACGTCTCTTAAAGTGGCACATGTACTTTAGCTTAGAAGAATTACTTAGAGCCATTGTTGGCGCTTTGGACCGACTCTATAAATGTATATTTAATTATTTTACAAAAGTTTTATTAACTCGATGAGTACTTAGAGCCACTTGCCATTCAGTTTTTCCTATGTAGTATGACCACACTACTTGGTACAAGGAGCGCTTGCGGTCTGAGTGGTCATACAGCGAAAGATACTAGAAACTCTTTCCAAGTAGGTACACACAAATATTAACCCCATATGTACACATAAAATTATTTATCCTCGTACATCTAAGGATTTGTTTGTCGACCAGTTGATACAAACGACAAAGAATAAGTAATAGCACTCAAGAACTCCATACTTTTCTAACCCTACCAAACCTTAGCTTTATCCGGTATAGTTCGTGACATATTTTAGTAAAACAATCATTCCTTATGGAGAAATCGGTTTCATATCAATTTCAATATTTTCATTCTCTTGATTTAACTCTTTGTGTGTATTGATATCTTTACTCTCACACTTCTTTTCTAAAAAAACTTCATTTTCTCATCTTGATCTCATCATTAAACCTATTTTTTCTTTTTTGGTTTTCCAATTCTTTCTAGTTTCCGTCAAAATTTCACTGTTAAAATTACTAAAACTTGAAAGTCACAGAGTTATCGGAAAACATTGCACCATGTTTCAAGATTTCCATGTGTTTTTCTCTTATTTATTTATAGAAAATTTTAATTTCTTCTAGCAATTGGATGCAGCCGACGTATTTTCTTACCAATATTTTTCAAGTGAAGTTGATAAACAAGAATGATAATAGCTATGTTGATTTGAGGTAATTTTAATAGCTATGTGCCTATGTTGATTTGAGGTAAAATCTTTTGTTCTTTTTAATGATTTTGTTGTCAAACAATCCTGTTTTAGAAAATCGTTAAATTACATATGTACTATTAGTTTTGTAAATTGCTGGAAGTATATATATGTTAGCTATGAAATGAGTTAGCGAAGTATATTACATCCTATAAAACTGACAATCTACTTTAACAATCAAATATTAATATACCAAATGACCACAAACTTATCCGAAATTTATAATATTCTTCTGAATGATGAAAATAAAACCTAAAAAATTCAGTCATGTTCGTAAACTATCACAAGAAAAATCTAATTCAACTTGTTTTATGACCATTTACACTGTACCAAATCATGATCCGCAAAATAATGATAATAATCCGCTTCATTAGTAATTGTAACCTCTTTCGATCAAACAATTCCTCTGCAAAGACTAGACTATTTCGTTTATCCAATATTACCATTAATTAACAAACCAAAAAGAAAATTACGTGGGAGTCGAAAAAGTCAAATATCTAGAAGAAAACTTCTTCTCACAATGTTATGCTTCGAGAAATACCTTTTCCCCATTCACGTTATGTTATGCAACGTGTGAGGATGACGAGTGGACAACACATACCTTATCTTATTTTATTGGTCAACCAACCCCAAAATAGATTTTAAGAGGGATTATATTTCTTTGTCAACTGTTTAGATGATTAAATAAAACAGTTTCACTAAAACTTGTTAAATTGTCATGTCATGAATATTATAAAGGTACAAAATGGAACGAACCCAGTTAACAATTTTATTTTATTTTTTCTTGTCACCATTGGACCATAATCAGATATAAACAGAGATTGATAAAGAGCCACCCAAAATATTTTCACAATTTGATATATTTAGTAGACATTAAACTGCTCCGTGAAAATACATACTATGTGATGTCAACGAAACATATACAAAACTCATTATATCTAATAAAGAAAACGAAATAAATAATAATTTACATAAAATAGTGAGAAATACCGTTTCAATGATTTTGTCTCCTAACGTTTTCAATGTTATTTTTTGGTCTCTGACTCTTCAAGGAAACTGGTAAAACCGGTGTCCCGGTAGTCATCACTCTCATCTTCTCCACCACGTGTCACTCTTATATGGTCATAAGTTTTCCCACCTTTCAACGTCCGATTCTGTATTTATATACCCTAAACCCATCTTCTTCTACATGCTCTTATTTCACAATCCCACCAAAACAAATCTCAAGAACCTTTCAAGATTCAGAAAAAAAAGAAACTCTCATAACTTTTTTCTTTTGTTTCTGTCGAATTTCAAATAATCAAGCAATTGTTTTTGTAACCTTGAAAAAATTATGGCTATAGAAGATAACCGAAGTCACAAAGATTATCTTAGGAGGATGACTTTTGCAGCGTTCTTGAAATCTGGTTCTCTCGCCGGCGAGGAAGAAACTTACCACAGCGACGGTGATCATCATAACCAAAACGCGTTTAGCAGCAACAGCGATTCTCAGCGTCCAAGCAACGCCTCAAGTGGTAGTAGCGATTCATCATCACCAATCTACCCATTATCTCCATGGAACCAAACTTACTATCCAAGCAACGACAACACGACGTCGTTTTCATCTGCTACTCAATCACCATGGAACCAAACTTACTCTCCGTACCACAAATCTCCATGGATTTACCAAACCAGGAACAGTAATTTCGAGGATGATCCTGATAACGGTTTAATCGGTACGGTCGTGAGACAAGAAGGACACGTGTACTCTCTTGCTGCTTCAGGTGATCTTCTCTTCACCGGTTCCGATTCCAAGAATATTCGGGTTTGGAAAGATTTGAAAGACTTCTCCGGGTTTAAATCCACAAGCGGTTTTGTTAAAGCGATTGTAATAACCGGAGATAACCGGGTTTTCACCGGTCATCAAGATGGTAAAATCAGGGTTTGGAGAGGATCAAAGAAGAACCCAGAGAGATATTCACGAGTCGGAAGCTTACCAACTCTTAAAGAATTTCTCACCAAATCGGTAAATCCTAGAAACTACGTCGAAGTCCGTCGCCGGAAAAACGTTTTGAAAATCCGACATTTCGACGCTGTGTCGTGTCTGAGCTTAAACGAAGATCTCGGTTTGCTCTACTCCGGTTCTTGGGACAAGACTCTTAAGGTCTGGAGATTATCCGATTCAAAGTGTTTAGAATCAATCGAAGCTCACGACGACGCCGTTAACACGGTGGTTTCCGGATTCGACGATTTGGTATTCACTGGATCAGCCGACGGAACGTTAAAAGTATGGAAACGTGAGCAACAAGGCAAAGAGATGAAACATGTTTTAGTACAAGTTTTGATGAAACAAGAAAACGCAGTAACGGCGTTAGCTGTTAATTTAACGGACGCTGTGGTTTACTGTGGTTCATCTGACGGTACCGTTAACTTCTGGGAAAGGCAGAAATATTTGACTCACAAAGGAACGATTCACGGCCACCGTATGGCGGTGTTGTGTCTTGCCACCGCCGGGAGTTTGCTTTTGAGCGGCGGAGCTGATAAGAATATTTGCGTTTGGAAAAGAAACGGCGACGGATCGCATACGTGTCTGTCCGTTTTGATGGATCATGAAGGACCTGTTAAGTGTTTAACGGCTGTGGAAGAGGCGGAGGAAGATAACAACGACGGAGACGACGGTGGAGAGAAAGGGGATCAACGGTGGATAGTGTATAGTGGGAGTTTAGACAACTCCGTTAAAGTGTGGCGCGTGACGGATTACGCTTCGTAAGCGCGTGAAGAAGTATACGTGTGGACAACGTAGGAGCGTGAAGGGATGTTACGCGGCCATGTGGTTGTGTAGCGTTTTATCGTCAAAGGAGGAATTGATTGGGAGGCAACTAGTTGGTAGATTTTGGTACTTGTGATGACCAATAGTGAATTGTCACGTTTCATGTGAATTTGTCATCTTCTTTGGAAGTGTGAAAAAGTCTTTGTCTCCTTTTGATGTTGCGTTAGATCTTTTACTCTTCTCTTGTAATTCGCATGCACTTATTTTAAATCATGTGAAACTAAAAGAGGAAAGAAGGTGGAGGAAAAAAGGAAAGTAAAGATTCCGCTACAATGAGAAACAAAAAAAGATAAAAGAAATATAATAAATGTGACTATGTAAGTTGTTTGTATATGTTTATTATGGGGTCTTTATTCTCTATGGTTGTTGTCATTGTTGAATGTGAAAATTCTCTCTTTTTTAATTCTAGGTTGTTTTTATACACGTTATTTTGGAAATTTGGAATATAACATTGCAACTAAAGATTTGTAATACGTAAGATGGATTTGTTAGTTCAGATTGTTGAAAAGGAAGTGACCCTTTGGATTAAAATTTGATATTTAATTGTTGATGAACATACGTAAGATGTTATCTGTCTATTGATTAGTTTGATTTTAGAGATGATCAGTATATTAGAATTTAAAAAGGTTTGCGAAGTAATAAGCAAAACCGACCTTAGCTCAGTTGGTAGAGTGGAAGACTGTCGTGTAAGTAGACAATCTTTAGGTAGTTGGTTCGATTCCGGCAGGTTGGATTTTTTTTTCTTTTTCATTACATTTTTGAGAAGTCTCTGTAGAATGAAAATAAAAAGCCATAGTCCGTATAAAAAACAAACTAATTCTATTTAGTACTAATGAGTAATTGATTAATTTCGTCGATTTGCAACGTTAGAGTATCTCCAATGGTAAGAACCCATCACCTAAAAAATCATAGGTTCTTACCAATATTTATAATTCAAATTTTGCAAATCTAAAAGTTTAGAAACTCATTAGGAGTCTTAATTTTCATCTTCTCCAATGGTAGAACCTTATTAGAGATTCTTAAAAATTAAATTTTTGAAAATTTGTGTTTAGGTGTTTTGGTTAATTTTTTTGTTTTTCAAAAATTTAAGTGTTTTGGTTCTTAAAAATTCGAAGTGTTTTGAATTGATTTTGTTCTTAAAATTTTTGAAGTATTTTGAAGTATTTTGGTTCTTAAAATTTTGAAGTGTTTTGGTTCTTTAAAAAATTGGTTACAACTCATATATAACAAAATGTATGAACATAAAAGAATATTTGAGTGTATGAACTATGAACATAAAAATTTGGTTACAACACATAAAAATTTGGTATGTGAAATAAAATACAAACATATACATTGATGAGATCATGACCATGCATAAAGGGTATGAAAGTAGAAAACAAAATGGAGAAAAAGTTTGGAAATTCGGAAAATGAAATAAAACATCTCATATATAGTCTTGAGGAATTTACAACACTTGATATAAAGGATGATATTTTGAGCTAAAAAAAACCAGAGAGAGGATGAAAATTATTTAGTTAAAAGAAAGAAAGATTGAAGGAATGACATGGCCTGTGTTAGATTCTTTTGATATCCTTCATTTGAATTCATGAATGGCCTCAAAAAGGCTCTTCTTCTTCTTCTTCCTTTGATTCAGCTGCTCTCTAATATGTCTTTGTATGTGTTCTTGACCTTCTGAAACAAAGCTTCCTTGAAACAAATACCAAACAATTTTCTCGAGAGTATGAGTCTTATATTCTCAATACTACATGAAAACAAACACAGGGTTAAAGCATTATATCTAATTAGGTTATAGAGAATTAGTTAACTTGTCTGGTTTGAAGACCATGTTCTTGTAAGTGAACCACTGCCATAGAAAAACCAACATAAATAAACCACATGTTAAGGTCCATCACAAAAATGAAAACAAGCTACTAAACAAGTCTTAAATATAAATGTAAGCTGAATGTTATGTATTGATAGAAATGATTTACAATATATATAGGCTTAACCATATGGTTTAAGATATTACTAATTACATTAATACCCTTCCTCTACACCTTTTCTTTACACACACCCTCAAGATGGAGACAGTTCCTTGACTCCAATCTTGCTATTAATCTCTTGAAACCATGGTCGATGTAATGGTTTGGTTAGCGCGTCCGCTAACTGATCGTTTGTAGAAACATGTGACACACGAAGAGCCCCTAATTGTATATGTCCTCGCACAAAGTGATAATCGAGAGCCACATGTTTAATTCTCGAGTAAAACATCGGGTTGGCGCATAGGTAGGTAACGCCCATATTATCACAATAAATGATCGGCGCATGCGGTAACGAGATCCCTATCTCAGACTAGAGAGCATATCAATTGTAGTTTTGAGGCCGTGTTTGCCACTGCACGGTACTCGTCCTCTGTCGAAGATCGTGAGACACTTCTTGGTTTTTAGGATGACAACAATATCGGATTGCCACCAAAATAGATGATATATGCATTCGTGGACAAGTAATCTCTGGTATCTCCAGCCCCTTAATATCGAAATAGGTTTCGCATCAAGCATATGCGTTTTTGCGAGAAGATCAATGATATATTTTCTTTGCATCAAGTGGAGACCGTGTTTGGTGCGTATTGCTTCGATACCCAAGAATCTCAATTCTCCTAAATCTTTGAGTGAGAACCGAGCTGCAAGAGAGACATGGAAGCTTTTGACCAGAGAATCATCACCCACAATTATGATATCATCGACATATACTAACACATAGAGATAGGCATTGCGTTTGTAGATGAACATTGATGTATCAGCGAAGGAGGTTGTGAAACCAGATTGCACAAGAAAATTCTGGAGTCCCTGATACCACGCTCGAGATGCATGTTTCAACCCATACATCACTTTAATGACAAACATGGTGAGGTCGATCCCGATTGATAAAACCTTGGTGCTACTGGACATAAACCTCATCCGTAAGTGTGCCTTGTAGGAAGGCATTGTTGATGTCAACCTGGTGAATGTTTCAGTTTTGTTTAACTGTAGCTCCAAGAATTAGATGGATAGTTATAGTTTTGATAACCGAAATGAAAGTCTCCGAGTAATCCAATCCGTACTACTGTTTGAATCTGCATGCAACGAGTCTTGCTTTGTACCTTTCAATAGAACAATCATGATGATATTTTAGTGTAAAAATCAACTTACAGGTGTTGATATTCTGCGTAGTTGTTGGTGCTTCTAAGTCCTACATGTGATTTCTGATTTGTGCATTTATCTCCTATGCCATCGCATTTCTCCAGTTGGGATCCTTCATTGCATGCGCCACAGTGGTTGGAATTGTTGGTTTTATGGTGGCTATGAGGCTTAGCTTGTTTTTTTTTGGTAATATGGTTTTTAGCTCGTATTTTCATAGAATGGTTATTTTGCTATGGTGGAGGTAGATTGGGATTTACAGGTAACAGTAAACCTGTGAATGAGGGTTCTGTGTGGTTAGAATTTTTGGAATGTGGAGTAATTGGGTTTGATGATGATGGAGAAATTGTTTGGGTTTGGATCTGGTATTTGTGGGCTTGTGCTTAAGTTTGTTTGGTGTAAGTGAAAGGAGCCCTGTTCCAATATTAGAGGTGAGGCTGAGGATGGTGAATGTGACGTAGGTGTCGTCGGAGGAGACGATTCTGCATGTGACAAAGGAGTATGAGATGACAGAGTTGATAATGAAGGAGGAACCAACGACGCAGATGACGGTGGTTAAGCAGGCGACGAAGGCTGAAGGACCGAGCACGGAGGCGACTGTGAATGAACTGTGTAAGTAGGCACGGGCAGCACTTGAGATAGACTTGGAGAGAAACAGATTGGTTCCTCTTGAAGTGAGTTGGTTCACGGAGCTTGTAAGCTGAAAGGAAAACTCGTTTCCACAAATTGAACATGTCAGGAAGTGTAAAGCCGTCCGCTTCGAATATTTAAGAATAAATAGGCACTTTGCGTTAACGAGTACCCAACAAAAACATGGTGTGGCTGTTCGATATGGTCGCAACCATTGATAGCACACACGGCCAAACACGCGGAGCTTCAGATAGTTTGGTGGTTGATTGAACAACTTGGCATAAAGAGACATGCCACGTAATATGCCTTGGGAACTGATGCATGTGTGAGAAGGGTGAGACCCGTTTCCACAATATGACGATGTTTTCTCTCGGATATGCTATTATGTACTGGCGTATGTGGTGGCGTGGTAAGATGAGAGATGCCACGTATCGCCAAGTACGACTGCAATGTAATAAATTCGCCCCCATTATCCAAATATTAGGTGTGAATCCGACTCTGGAACTGGGTCTCCACAAACTCTTTAAATGCAACGAACACCTCTTTTACTTGTTTTTTTTTTGTTTCAATGGACATAGCCATGTATATCTAGTAAAGTGATCAACAATAACCATGTAATACATGAAATGATCTTCAGAAATTATCGGAGATATCCAAACATCGTTATAAATATATTGAAAAGGTTTGGTAGAGGTTATTGTGTTTGAGTGAAATGGTAATTTATGATTTTTATTAATGAAACAGTCGGAACACGACAGTTATTTTTGCTGATAATTTGAAAGAGATAAAGAAAATTGGGAAACAACAACTTTAAGAACCGGTAAAAAGGGATGACCAAGTGTTAAATGCCATGAAATACAACCAAAACATACAAAATATATACATTTATAAATATATTTTTGAGAATTAACTTAGTTTATGATGGTATTTTCAGAAGCAAAAAGTGTGTGGGGGTGGGGGGGGGGGGGGGGGGGGGGGAGGGGGAGCTGAGAATACAATTAGTTTATGGCTATAAAATCAGCCAACCCAAAGATTATCTTTATAATATATAACTTATTTTTTTTTTATAATATATATATATATATATATATATATGTATACTATTTCGTTTACGATTACTATGATTTAGAGACTGCCAGATTTTGCTAAGCATTACAAGTTTTTTATGGGCTCAAAAATTTAGAGGCCTCATAGGCATGTTAGAATATAATTCAACCAATGTAAAAAGCCCATATTTGGTAATAAAAGCCCATTTGGTTGGGGAGATGAAACGATGGAGTTTGTCATTTGGAGAGAAAACCAAAGCTATTTTATCGAACTTGCTAAGGCTGTGATATCGAAAACCTTGATGGAACATGTTTGATTCCAATCCAGTATGGTTTTTCACTCCTAAGCTTCCTTCCATTTTCGGAGAGGTAATGATATTGAAATAGATTTCTCTATTAAATCTGAAACGCAGATTCGATTTCCAAATCTATTTGCCGATGTTCTAGCTTCCAAATCATTGATTATCAACACTATTATCACTTGAAAAATTTCCCAAATCAATAATCAATCACATGTACTTCGTTTCATCTTATTCTTTGATTTTTGATCCCCTGGGATTATCTTCCCCAATATGCAAATCCCTTAATTGATTAGAGATGTGAATAGATACTTTGTGAAGAACATGGTAGATCACTCCATATCGAAACCTAATTTCGGTGAGATCTGACTTCAACATGTAGCCAACGATGTAGTTTTGTTTCTCGGAAGTGATGGCAACACGAGAAAGGTTACTGTAATAAGAGGTGAATCGAAAACCACTAATCGTGTCCCATCTTCTGTAATAATCGAATGAAATTCATTATATTCCGAAAATTGATTGTGAAAAAGTGTTAGTAATGGAAAGTAGATTTGTATATTAAATCAAGGGATTTTGGTCTAATGTGTCATTCACTGTAGC